TCGTAGAGCTCTACACAGACTCCAGGTAAGAAAATAAAGCACTTGTGTTACATAAAATGGACATATCGTTTACCGTCACTGTTCCTCACAGGTGGTACATCATTCTGGACCTCTTCTTCAGTGTTGTTGGTGTCTCTTTCTCTCAGAAAGAGAGCAATTACTCCGAGCACGGTAAATAACATTTTTGGTTAAACTTGCGTACACTTATAGATGAGAAAATCCAAATAAACTTACAATAAACACTGAAATGTTCTGAAAGTAAAGCTAGTTTATCAAAGTGATCCTCAATTAACCGTACGCTATCAATTGACAGTATTAGCAGAGCAAACTTTGTACAGCTTCTAGCTTTGTGTCAAATAAACGCAATGAGCAAATTTTTCACCGAGAGAGCTCTTTTGCTGTTGCGTCACGATCGAACCCGCGTTCCAACGTTCTACTACTGGTACGTGATTGGTCAGTTTTGTGACGTGGTCGGAGCTTTCGCTTAACCGAAGAAAAACAACATTAGCGTTTCCTTCACGGCTGTTTTTAGAGCAAAATAAAATTTGTAAACATTTCCCGTTTGAAGAGTCTTTACTGTCTGCTTTGTGAGCCAGTGTTTATTTTAAATCAGGGTCAATTTAAACCGTTCACAGGTAAGATATGTCTAGCATTCGTTTCTTACTTTAAATGGAAGTTGTTGGCTGTAAGCGCTTGTTTACACATTAAAACGCGAGATATGATATTGAATATCACATTAAATCATTTGATCTAACTTATCAAACCCCATTTACACTGCAAATGAAGTTGCAAGTAACGTACGGTTAACGATAATGCTGAGATGGAGGCATGTATATTAATGAGCCAATAATCAGATTCATTCAGTATTAAAATTAGCTTTGTCTAAATCTGATTATTCATTAACTCATTTCACTAACGCTTGTTCCAGCAAATAGTAAACAAAAATGTGCAAATTCAGTCACAGACTTTTCCCTTCACTTTCTGTCTGGCTTTATAAATTACTTCTTTATTATTAGTTTGTTCTGATATTTGATAACAAAGATACCAGCTTGTTGTTTTTCATTAAACATAATGATAAAATAAAAGGACTAATTTGATGTATTTATTTGTAAAAGCATACAGTTATTGCATTATTAACAAAAATATATAAATAACTATTAATAATAGTCTACACAGGTGTTTAAATGACTCTTAATCTTAAGGTATGTTGTAAAATGTGAATAAATTATGTGAATGTAGGAAATGAAAATACAAACTGGTCAAAAAGGGCACTTGCCTAGTTAGAGTAGGACTGATTAGGGTCTTTCTGTGCACATGTCTGGGTGTCTTTAAGTTATTTTAATAATATTAAACATGGCTGTTCTTGGTTTATAGGAAGCAGAAGAAATGGACATGGAGAATGTGATGTGAAAGAGAGAAGAACAAACCCCCATATAGTACAAGTATGTAGAGTGGATTTTTGTAAGGTTGTTAATGGCTGTTTTTGAATATTTACTGCAGGGATTATGACATGTTGCTTTAGTTGATTACAAAAATTTTTTGGCTCTAAACAGACAGTGCCCAGCTTAAATGAGCTTTTTGAAAATTATGGATTTAAATTTTTCTGATTAAATGGCAATATGTATTGCAGAAATTTTATTAACACGCTTATTAAACAGTTAATGTAAGAGCATGCTCATTATCATAAGTACTAAGTAATCATTAGTACTTGCTACAATAAATACTACTTAGTTGATCAAAAAGACCCAATGGAAATGAGTAGCAAAACTTTAGGTTTGTTACTAGTAGCAATAGAATAAAATAGAATTTAATTTAAATCTGTTTCTAGTACCAGTAAAATAGTAACATGCTCTGTTGTTTCTAGTTACAAATTTAAGATTTTTGCCGCTGATTTCCATGAGGATCTGTCTTTGTGATCAACTAATCAGATTTGACTAGTGTTTCAATTCCAGTTCTGACTGGAACATATATATATATATATATATATATATATATATATATATATATATATATATATATATATATATATATATATATATATATAGCATTATTCATTAATTACTAATCATTTTAGTAGTAGTTTTAAATTGAAGTACTAGTACTTTTGGTGATTACTAGTATCTTATATTAGATACCCTATCAGTATTAAAAATAAGTACTAGCAGTTCATAAAAAAAATAATAATCAATAAAAAAAATTCTTTGTAATAAATAATTATTTGTATCTGTTTAACAGGTTCTAATGCGAAAAGAATATGTACCATATGCCTAATAATCTAATAAGAACTATTAACTATTGCTGGGTTTTTCAATCCTGATCCTGGGGACACACTACTCTACACTTAGGAGTTTTTTTAATTATAATAAAATGAAACGGGGACACACTGGCTCAATGGTTAGCACTGTGGCCTCACAGCAAGAAGGTCGCTGGTTTGAGTCCCGGCTGGGTCTGTGTAGAGTTAGTATGTTCTGTATATGACATGTGATATAGGTGAATTAAATAAACTAAATTGGCCATAATGTATGAGTGTGTGTGTATGGATGTTTCCCAGTACTGGGTTGCAGCTGTAAGGGCATCTGCATAAAACATATGCTGGATAAGTTGGCGGTTCATTCTGCTGTGGCGACCACTGATAAATAAAAGGACGAAGCAGAAAGAAAATGAATGAATGAAAATAAACATTACATGCCAGGGAAGACAGAAATGCAGCTTTTTTATTGTAAGATTCAGAAATCAAATACATATAAAGATTTAGATCTTCAAGACAAATCTGAAATAAAGGTTTACGCTTACAAAATTTACACTTGTGCATAAAATGTTGAGCCAAAAATAGAAGATCAAATAAGATCATTCATTCATTTACTTTCTTTTCAGCTTAGTCCCTTTATTAATCTGAAGTCGCCACAGCGGGATGAACCGCCAATTTATTCAGCATATGCAGCAGATGCCCTTCCAGCCACAACGCATCACTGCAAAACACCCATACATTCCCATTCACTACGGAAAATTTAGCCTACCCAATTCACCTACAGCACATGTCATTGGACTTGTGGGGGAAATCGGAGCACCTGGAGGAAACCCACGCAAAAACGGGGAGAACATTCTTGCTGTGAAGTGACAGCGCCACCCACTGCGTACAGGTGAAATGCTAAATTGTCTGTAGTGTATAAATGCAAGAGTGTATGGGTGTTTCCCAGTGATGGGTTGCAGCTGGAAGGGCATCCACTGCTTAAAATATAAGCTGGATAAGTTGGCGGTTCATTCCGCTGTGCTACAGAATTACAGAAACAGGACAAAAAAAAACTAGATAATAAATATATTTTAAGAAAAGGAGTAAGTAGTGAATGCAAATATACAAACTGACAAGTGTATGTGCAGGTATATCTATACACAACATTATATGTGCAGGTGTTATAAGCAAGTTGGCATGTAAAGTATGTTGTTAAAGAAATTAAAAGTGTATAAAATGTAGTGATGGTTGTTTCACAGTTACTTTCATAAAGTGTTCATCAGATGGATTGAGGGAAGAAACGGTTTCTGTGTTTGGCTTTTCTGGTGCACAGTGCTCTGTAGCGTCGACCAGAAGGTAAAAGCTCAAAGAGGCAGTGTGCTGGGTGTGAGGGGTCCAGAGAAATTTTGGCAGCTCTCTCGCTCTGGATAAGTACAGTTCTTGGAGAGTAGGGAGGGTTGTATTAGTGATTCGATCAGCAGTCCGAACTCTTTGTCGTAGTCTTCAGAGGTCAGATTTGGTAGCTGAGCTAAGCCAGACAGTTATTAATGTGCAGTGCAGCTGTTTGAGCAGCTCCTATAGAAGGTTGAACGTCATTTCATTTACAAATTCAAACAGTACTGCAATATGATACATAAATGTAAATCAAAAAAGCGCTCAAGACCTCTAATATTATCTGTAAATTTAAGATTGACAAGTAAACTACCATCATTAGTGTGTGTGAATAAAGAGAGAGTGTATGGGTGTTTCCCAGCACGGTGCTGGTTTGCAGCTGGAAGAGCTAGAATGCTAAAAACTCCACCACATGTATGCTTGTACATCAAACATTCAGCTCAATAACATTAAGCACAACTAATCTTTGTTAAATCTACAAATGTTGTCTTTTTTTGGGCCTGACTGATCTCTCTTGGAATGTTTTCACAGTAATCAACCTTAAAAAAAACAGAATAAACACATCTTTTGTAAAAATGTGACTTTATTTCAACATTTAGTACAAAATTCATGATAATTATCATCAGTTGTGAGGCTTGTCGCCCCAGCCTGATGTCAGTTTGTGTCCGTGTTCAGCTCAGCACCATCTTTACGATGGGCAGTTTCCAGTGGCACCACGTGGAGGAACGGACCTCGCCACCTATATATACAGGGTTTGGATTATCACTCACCATAAAATAACCTATATCACCTACATATAAGACCACTAGTCAATAAATGATGATTAATGATTAGACTAAAGATGGTTACTAAAGCTGATGAGGACTATATTAAAGCAAACACTAAAGATTGTAACTTTATCCATCTTCAGAACACAAATTAAGAATAGTTCTGAAGATGAACATGAGGACGAGTAATAAATAACATAACTTCAATTATTGGGTGAACTTTTTAATTGTTGTATTTATTTATTATTGTTTTTTTTTTGTTGTTATTGGAAGAATTTGATTGGTCAATAACATGGCCAGTTATCGATTTATATTTCAATATAGACGGTTTTGTAGTTGTTTTATTTTATTTCTTATATTGTTTTATATTAATGAATTTTTTTATTTCATTATTATATTTTTAACATTTTGTTTTCTAGTTTTGTGGCCAAATTGGATGGTGAGTGATAATGTTAATCGTAAACCCTGTATATATATCAGTTGTTCCCAGTAATCATTGGTCCAGAAGTCTCTCTGATCTGTCTCAAATTACATTTTCACAGAGACACATAAAAATATATGGACCTGGATTGGGAACGACTGAGATATATCTTTTTATTAATTAATTTATTATACATTTTATTTTAGCATGTAAAAGTGCAAGAATTAGTGCAAAAGCTGGTGTTAAAGTGCAGGAAGAGGCACATACACTATATAAAGGTCCAAATTGTTAAGTGCTTTATCATTTCTTTTTTTTATTTACAAGGAATTTAATTGGAGGTTATGGGGTGATTGGAATGACTAGATCCATCCGTTAAATTAGGACAGTTCTCCTCATTCCTCCTTGTTCTCGTCTGAAACATAAACAGAGACAATTTTAAAGCATGAATAGATGAAACAAATAACATGTAAAATGGAAGAACATAAGATTTTGTTTGGTTTCCATTTGTCTGTGTTGAAATGAGTAAGAGAAGTGGTGCTTATGCAAAAAAATGGGAGATGGAAACACTAATTTGCTGAATAAACTCTAACTTGGGGGGTGATCTGCTCTAACAACTTGATAGAAATGCACCTAACTAACGTCATGTTAAGATGAAAATCTGCCTTATGACAGTGTAAGATGGCTAATGTCAAATGAAATCTGCCTTATGACAGTGTAAGATGGCTAATGTCAAATGAAATCTGCCTTATGACAGTGTAAGATGGCTAATGTCAAATGAAATCTGCCTTATGACAGTGTAAGATGGCTAATGTCAAATGAAAGCTGGCTTATGACAGTGTAAGATGGCTAATGTCAAATGAAAGCTGGCTTATGACAGTGTAAGATGGCTAATGTCAAAATGTATTCGATACCCTAATCCACTTATGGGAACTGAGGTTATGCAGTTCAAGCCGATCCTTTGGGTCCAACTGCAGACAGCCGTGGAAGAAATCGCAGCAGTCTATGCAGAAAGAAGAAAGAGTTTATACATGCTTGTTTAAATGACATTCAAATTATCCTATACAATCATCTTTAGCCTAAGTGAAGATCTCACCTCTTGACAAGCCTTTAATCCTCAACCTTCTGTTGTTCATTCTAGGCAAGTCACTTTGTTCTGGAAATCTGTAGAAAACTAGCAGAAACAGAACAACTCCAAGTGACCAGACTGTCGCTGGTATCCCGTGGTATCTTCCAGTTGACGAAAACTCGGGAGGGAAGTACTCTCTGGTGCCTGAAAGAGAATTTGTTTCCACCAACAGTATAGATAAACAACAGCGAATGTTTCACAGAAAAAAATAAATCAGCAGAGTTTAAGACCCTTCTTACAGCTTTGAAGGATGAACATACCTCTAAAGTATTGGAAACTGTCCTCAGTAAGAAGATCGCCGCACCCGAAGTCAATCAGTTTGACCTCAAGGGTGTCCGGGTTAATCAGCAAGTTCTCCAGCTTGATATCACGATGAAGAACTCCACGCTGGCAGCATGTTTGGGCTGCAACTGTTGTCTGGTACATGATTGTTCGTAGCTTGTTCTCTGGAATGATGCCTTTGCAGTCGAGAAGGAATTCATGCAAGCTCATGCAGGGTATGGGCTGCTCCAGCACCATGAAGTACCTATCAGCCTCCACCTTCCAGTCCAAAAGCTCGATGATTTCCTTAACCTTGGGGCCTTTATTGGCAAGAAAGTGCAGAGCGATCTCCAGTGGAAGTGGATCTTCAAACCCATCCTACAAGAAAGACAGTTGTGAAGATCATTTGATAGAAAAGGTATTTTCAATAAACAAGTCCTGGACAAACTGTTGGCAATGTCTATCATCACAAAAAGCATTTGTAGTCTACGATTAATATGACAAGAAGACAGTAAATGAGAGCACACTACTTACAACACTGATGAATCGCTTCTCCTCCTCGAAATCGGACAATTTTACTGCCACCTGAAGGCCATCTTCTAAACGAGTGGCTGAGAAAACGGCTCCACAGCCTCCTTCACCCAGCTGAGCTTCAATTGCATAGCAGTGGGAATTGATCTCTGTGAAAAGACAAAGAAGAGATGAGAAATCATCAGTGGTACAGTACCTTCATCTAAAACCTTTCCTCTTTCATATATAAATTGAGATACTACACTGAATATCTGTCCCTTAAAAGTTTATCTGATGGTAAAAATAAACAAATGAGTGTAAAATATTCAGTCTCACCTTTAAGGTTTAGTTCACCCAACAATAAACATTTACTCTCTATTTACTCAACCTCTAGTGTTTTCAAACGTTTGTGAGTTTCCTTTGTTAAATGAAGAAATTTAGAAGAAAACTGAAAACCTGTAACCACCGTCTTCCACAGTAGGAAAACACATTCTATGACAATCAATAGTTACAGGTTTCAAGCTTTCCTCAAATATTATTTTTTTATTTTCAACAGGAAAAAGATTCTCAGACAGGTTTGGAACAAGTAAAGGGTGAGCAAATGATGACAGAAGTTCCAGTTTTGGGTGAACTATCCCTTAAATATGAATACGATATATAATAAATCTTCACAAATAGATGCATTTTCAGCTATTCCTGACAAAATGCATATTAAAGTCTGTTTAAAGCATAAACCATTGTTAAAATATGCATGTGTGTTGGATAACTGTAGGGTCGAGGTAGTAAACTCACCAATGATTTGTGTCTCTTTGTCCTCCTTCAGTTTCTCAGGTTCAGCAGAGTCAACAAACAGGGGTTCATCATCACCACAGCCAGACTCAGCAGTTAAGAAGCCTGAAGAGAGATCATCACTCCAGCTCGACTCAACAGTTAAGAAGCTTGAAGAGAGATCTTCACTCCAGCTTGACTCAGCAGAGAAGAAGCTGAGATCCAGTGATGGTTCCTCCAGTGATGGTTCCTCACTGTGAACACTGACAGGCTCCTCCAGCGATGGTTCCTCACTGTGAACACTGACAGGCTCTACCAGCGATGGTTCCTCACTGTGAACACTGACAGGCTCTACCAGCGATGGTTCCTCACTGTGAACACTGACAGGCTCCTCCAGCGATGGTTCCTCACTGTGAACACTGACAGGCTCCTCCAGCGATGGTTCCTCACTGTGAACACTGACAGGCTCTACCAGCGATGGTTCCTCACTGTGAACACTGACAGGCTCTACCAGCGATGGTTCCTCACTGTGAACACTGACAGGCTCCTCCAGCGATGGTTCCTCACTGTGAACACTGACAGGCTCCTCCAGCGATGGTTCCTCACTGTGAACACTGACAGGCTCTACCAGCGATGGTTCCTCACTGTGAACACTGACAGGCTCCTCCAGCGATGGTTCCTCACTGTGAACACTGACAGGCTCTACCAGCGATGGTTCCTCACTGTGAACACTGACAGGCTCTACCAGCGATGGTTCCTCACTGTGAACACTGACAGGCTCTACCAGCGATGGTTCCTCACTGTGAACACTGACAGGCTCCTCCAGCGATGGTTCCTCACTGTGAACACTGACAGGCTCTAACAGTGATGGCTCTTTACACCAGTCATCGATTTCTCGACCTAAAGAAAGGATTATTATATAAAAGATTTTAGTTTTATTCAAATAATATTTATTTATAGTTATTAAGCATATTAATGAATGCTGTAAATTATAAAGTGACTTTGACAGTGGTGTCAAACTCAAATGACATTGATTGAAGGTTTTGATATTTTATTATTATTTATTTTACGTCATTTACATGAATAGCAATATTTGTACGATATTTCGAGTGTGTTTTGTGCTTGTACTTTGGCTGGTTTCGGCCTGTCATGGATTGACCTAAATAAGAATCACACTTAAAACCTCCAGCAGATGGAGACGAGTCCTAAAGTGTAGTTTATTCACTCATTAATTGTACACCTCTTTAACAATATCATGCCATTCTTTTTAATGGCCTTTTTGCTAGTTGTTAGTAGTGTATTAAGAAGATACGCAACATTTTAAAGTATTTTTGAAGAGTAAATTACCAGGTACAGTTTTAAAATTACATTCCAGATTCAATCCCATTATTGCATTTATCTCTTTATTCAAATCTTGCCAATAGGTGTGTATAGTATTACAATCCCAAAATATGTGAAATGATCAGCCAAAACAATTCCACAATTTCTCCAGCATTCATCATGTTTTGATCAAGAACACAAATTAAGATGTACTACAAATGGAACCTGAAAAAGTGTTGATATTGGAAATGTACCGAATTTTCAACCACTGAACATTTGTCAGCTGAAAATATGTTATGCCCTTTAATGGACCCTTTACTTTTTGTGGATTCAGTCATTGTTGGGTTACTCTTTCAAATCTGGAAGCATTAACAAGTTGTAAGCAATTCCATGCATATGTTTTTACCAAAATAGTGAAACTTTTTTTGAGTAGGCTTGTAATTTAATGAACTATAAAACTACTCAAAATGTCTCTGTCAATGTTGTCAAACAATTATATTTAATTTACCAAAGTCAAACAAGTGGCAATTTCTCATTTGTCACATTGTCACTACTGATTAAATTATTTCTTTTAGGCTGTGCAGTTTAATTCACAGAATTTCTACAAAGTATGCTGTATACTGTAAACTCATCAACCTTTTTTGATCAAATCCACAATGTGTTCTTAATTTCTTCATTTAAAGTATACAAAATGTTTACAGACTGATATTTTTTTGATTCCTTAACTCTGTCTTTAGCTGTTTTGGAAAATATAAACAGATGTTCAAATATAATGTGAACATATACCTTATCTGTGAATTTATTTTTTGAGTTTTTACTGAAATGACACATCCATAATGCTGGAATTGCTCTTATATCAAATATATATATCACTATTGCTCAATATAGATAATAATTATTGAGATAGCATTTTTGCCAAATCGCCCTGCCCTACATTTTACTACCTTTCATGTCTTCGACTGAGCAGTCTCTTGCTGTGTATGGCGGATGAGGAAGCTCTCTGATTTCACATAAAGTACCCTAATTTGTTACTTAAGGTCTCAGGAATTAGGTTTTAATTTTTGAGCGAACTAAACCTTTCATTTTAAAGCAAAGAAAATTACTTTATGAAAAACGAATAGACTCCTTTCTATGGTGAATGTTTGACACCGCTGTGTTTAAACCAATAGAATTGTATTAAAACCAATTAACCATATTCACTGTGTTTTGTAATGTTTTCTCCCAGTAAGGTAAAATTAATCGTAGAGCTCTACACAGACTCCAGGTAAGAAAATAAAGCACTTGTGTTACATAAAATGGACATATGGTTTACCGTCACTGTTCCTCACAGGTGGTACATCATTCCGGACCTCTTCTTCAGTGTTGTTGGTGTCTCTTTCTCTCAGAAAGAGAGCAATTACTCCGAGCACGGTAAATAACATTTTTGGTTAAACTTGCGTACACTTATAGATGAGAAAATCCAAATAAACTTACAATAAACACTGAAATGTTCTGAAAGTAAAGCTAGTTTATCAAAGTGATCCTCAATAAACCGTACGCTATCAATTGACAGTATTAGCAGAGCAAACTTTGTACAGCTTCTAGCTTTGTGTCAAATAAACGCAATGAGCAAATTTTTCACCGAGAGAGCTCTTTTGCTGTTGCGTCACGATCGAACCCGCGTTCCAACGTTCTACTACTGGTACGTGATTGGTCAGTTTTGTGACGTGGTCGGAGCTTTCGCTTAACCGAAGAAAAACAACATTAGCGTTTCCTTCACGGCTGTTTTCAAAGTAAAATAAAATTTGTAAACATTTCCCGTTTGAAGAGTCTTTACTGTCTGCTTTGTGAGCCAGTGTTTCCATTTAAATCAGGGTCAATTTAAACCGTTCACAGGTAAGATATGTCTAGCATTCGTTTCTTATTTTAAATGGAAGTTGTTGGCTGTAAGCGCTTGTTTACACATTAAAACGCGAAATATGATATTGAATATCACATTAAATCATTTAATCTAACTTATCAAACCCCATTTACACTGCACATGCAGTTGCAAGTAACGTACGGTTAACGATAATGCTGAGATGGAGGCATGTATATTAATGAGCCAATAATCAGATTCATTCAGTAATAAAATTAGCTTTGTCTAAATCTGATTATTCATTAACTCATTTCACTAACGCTTGTTCCAGCAAATAGTAAACAAAAATGTGCAAATTCAGCCACAGACTTTTCCCTTCACTTTCTGTCTGGCTTTATAAATTACTTCTTTATTATTAGTTTGTTCTGATATTTGATAACAAAGATACCAGCTTGTTGTTTTTCATTAAACATAATGATAAAATAAAAGGACTAATTTGATGTATTTATTTGTAAAAGCATACAGTTATTGCATTATTAACAAAAATATATAAATAACTATTAATAATAATCTACACAGGTGTTTAAATGACTCTTAATCTTAAGGTAGGTTGTAAAATGTGAATAAATTATGTGAATGTAGGAAATGAAAATACAAACTGGTCAAAAAGGGCACTTGCCTAGTTAGAGTAGGACTGATTAGGGTCTTTCTGTGCACATGTCTGAGTGTCTTTAAGTTATTTTAATAATATTAAACATGGCTGTTCTTGGTTTATAGGAAGCAGAAGAAATGGACATGGAGAATGTGATGTGAAAGAGAGAAGATCAAACCCCCATATAGTACAAGTATGTAGTGGATTTTTGTAAGGTTGTTAATGGCTGTTTTTGAATATTTACTGTAGGGATTATGACATGTTGCTTTAGTTGATTACTTAGTAGTTAGTAGTTGTTTTAGTTTTGATTTGATTCTTTTTTTGGCTCAAAAACAGACAGTGCCCAGCTTAAATGAGCTTTTTGAAAATTATGGATTTAAATTTTTCTGATTAAATGGCAATATGTATTGCAGAAATTTTATTAACACGCTTATTAAACAGTTAATGTAAGAGCATGCTCATTATCATAAGTACTAAGTAATCATTAGTACTTGCTACAATAAATACTACTTAGTTGATCAAAAAGACCCAATGGAAATGAGTAGCAAAACTTTAGGTTTGTTACTAGTAACAATAGAATAAAATAGAATTTAATTTAAATCTGTTTCTAGTACCAGTAAAATAGTAACTGCTCTGTTGTTTCTAGTTACAAATTTAAGATTTTTGCCGCTGATTTCCATGAGGATCTGTCTTTGTGATCAACTAATCAGATTTGACTAGTGTTTCAATTCCAGTTCTGACTGGAACATATATATATATATATATAGCATTATTCATTAATTACTAATCATTTTAGTAGTAGTTTTAAATTGAAGTACTAGTACTTTTGGTGATTACTAGTATCTTATATTAGATACCCTATCAGTATTAAAAATAAGTACTAGCAGTTCATAAAAAAAAATAATAATCAATAAAAAAAATTCTTTGTAATAAATAATTATTTGTATCTGTTTAACAGGTTCTAATACGAAAAGAATATGTACCATATGCCTAATAATCTAATAAGAACTATTAACTATTGCTGGGTTTTTCAATCCTGATCCTGGGGACACACTACTCTACACTTAGGAGTTTTTTTAATTATAATAAAATGAAACGGGGACACACTGGCTCAATGGTTAGCACTGTGGCCTCACAGCAAGAAGGTCGCTGGTTTGAGTCCCGGCTGGGTCTGTGTAGAGTTAGTATGTTCTGTATATGACATGTGATATAGGTGAATTAAATAAACTAAATTGGCCATAATGTATGAGTGTGTGTGTGTATGGATGTTTCCCAGTACTGGGTTGCAGCTGTAAGGGCATCTGCATAAAACATATGCTGGATAAGTTGGCGGTTCATTCTGCTGTGGCGACCACTGATAAATAAAAGGACGAAGCAGAAAGAAAATGAATGAATGAAAATAAACATTACATGCCAGGGAAGACAGAAATGCAGCTTTTTAATTGTAAGATTCAGAAATCAAATACATATAAAGATTTAGATCTTCAAGACAAATCTGAAATAAAGGTTTACGCTTACAAAATTTACACTTGTGCATAAAATGTTGAGCCAAAAATAGAAGATCAAATAAGACCATTCATTCATTTACTTTCTTTTCAGCTTAGTCCCTTTATTCAAGAGTTCACACTTAGCTGATGATTTACAAAGCTTATTTGGCATGCTGTCCCGGGAGAGAGCCCCGAGCTCAAGGGCTCCTCGAGCCCGGGGCTTCCTCCCGTTGGCAGAGCAAGAAGGGAGCCTGAGCTCGGTGGATCTCAGAACTCCCCTGCCGCTGTAGCTAAGGGAACGTAAGGAATTAGACCAGCTTGATTGTTAAGTATGTTGAATGTCTTTGGATGGTGGGAGGAAACCGGAGAGCCCGGGGAAAACCCACGCGGACACGGGAAGGACATACAAACTCCCCACAGAAACACTCACCGGTCCTATCGAACTAGGACCGGCAGTATTCTTGCTGTGTGGTTCACAGTGCTAACCACTGGACCGCCGTGCCGCCCAATTACAGGTAAAGGAGGAGAATAGGGGAGGAGGGGGGTTTCTTCCAAACGAAGATAAAGTGAACTGAAAACTTAGACTATTTATGGTGCCTTAGGGCTCATATGATTGGAAGATTAGTGATTAGCAAATGCGAGACTGGACGTGATAAATCATAAGCACGTGATCCTCTCGAAATTAGTTTATGAATAAACTTCACTTCAAGAGTTCACACTTAGCTGATGATTTACAAAGCTTATTTGGCATGCTGTCCCGGGAGAGAGCCCCGAGCTCAAGGGCTCCTCGAGCCCGGGGCTTCCTCCCGTTGGCAGAGCAAGAAGGGAGCCTGAGCTCGGTGGATCTCAGAACTCCCCAAAATGCAGAAATTAATCGCTCGGGACAGCAGCCGCGTATTCGAAGAAAAAACCCCCCAAAAGGCAGGAAATTTAGAGCTATATCCGGCTGCTGGATATAATAGAAGGAAAGAGGTTAAATGCATGGGCATTAATTAGATAGGATTAATAAGGGTGAAAAGAGGATTCTGATAACTCTTGCTGGAGTTAGAGTTTGAAGGAACCCCTGCGGGGTTCATGGTTTTCGGGGTTAAGAAGAAGGGGAGAATAGGTGGTTTGAAGCAGTGGAAAGAGAACTTTGAGTGAATCTTGTGGGAGTTGGAGCTCTAAGTGACCCCTGCGGGGGCCAGAGTAGAGTGAAGGTATGGAGCAGAGAGTGGAGGAGAGTAGCTCTTACGAAAGATGGAGCTTTGTGAGAGTTTGAGTTTAGAGCGGCCTCTGCGGAGGTTAGAGCTTGAGGGTAGGGTGTAGATAGGAGTGACCTCTGCGGAGGTTAGAGCTTGAGGGTAGGGTGTAGATAGGAGCGACCTCTGCGGAGGTTTGAGCTTGAAGGTAGGGTGTAGATAGGAGTGACCTCTGCGGAGGTTTGAGCTTGAGGATAGGGTGTAGATAGGAGCGACCTCTGCGGAGGTTTGAGCTTGAAGGTAGGGTGTATATAGGAGTGACCTCTGCGGAGGTTTGAGCTTGAGGGTAGGGTGTAGATAGGAGTGACCTCTGCGGAGGTTAGAGCTTGAGGGTAGGGTGTAGATAGGAGCGACCTCTGCGGAGGTTTGAGCTTGAAGGTAGGGTGTAGATAGGAGTGACCTCTGCGGAGGTTTGAGCTTGAGGGTAGGGTGTAGATAGGAGCGACCTCTGCGGAGGTTTGAGCTTGAAGGTAGGGTGCAGATAGGAGTGACCTCTGCGGAGGTTTGAGCTTGAGGGTAGGGTGTAGATAGGAGTGACCTCTGCGGAGGTTTGAGCTTGAGGGTAGAGTGTAGATAGGAGTGACCTCTGCGGAGGTTTGAGCTTGAGGGTAGGGTGTAGATAGGAGTGACCTCTGCGGAGGTTTGAGCTTGAAGGTAGGGTGTAGATAGGAGTGACCTCTGCGGAGGTTTGAGCTTGAGGGTAGGGTGTAGATAGGAGTGACCTCTGCGGAGGTTTGAGCTTGAGGGTAGGGTGTAGATAGGAGTGACCTCTGCGGAGGTTTGAGCTTGAGGGTAGAGTGTAGCTGGGAGAAGCAATGAGTGGAAGAGAGTAACTCTTGCGAGAGTTGGAGCTTGAAGCGACCTCTGTGGAGGTCAGAGCTTGGGGGTAGAGTGTAGATAGGGGGAGATAGGTAGCAGTGAGTGGAAGAGAGTAACTCTTGTGAGAGTTGGAGCTCTGAGCGACCTTTGTGGAGGTCAGAGCTTGAGGGTAGATTGCGGATAGGAGGAGATAGATATCAGTGAGTGGGAAAGAGGATTTGGATAACTCTTGCGAGAGATTGGGGCTCGGAGCGACCCCTGTGGGGGTCAGAGCTAGAGGGTGAGTCATAAGGAGAAGAGAGGTAGTTGAGTAGAGTGAAGAAGTTTTAGCTTGAGCGGACCCCTGCGGGGTTTGGAGCTTGGAGAAAGAGTCTAGGCGGAAAAAGAATAGGTAACATCGTGAAGAAGAAAGGACTGTGGCCGCTATGGCCGAATCCTGCGAGAGTTGGAGCTCAAGGGGGCCCCTTCGGGTGTCTGAAGAGTCTAGACAGGAGAAACAAGATCATTAGAGGTAGAGTGTAAAATAGATTAGTTGGGAGTGGAGTGTAGAG